CAAAGGGGACGCATAAAGTAGAACAAAACTGCACATAAAAAAAAACCCAGAAATTGTCCCAAGTTCAAATGCAATACAGTTTCAGTAAGTTTTTCAGCATGCAGGTGTAGTTCAGTTGTTTTCTCATCAAAGGGAGAGAGAGAGAAAAAAAAAAAGAGTTTGTAGACAGGTCTATGAATGGCTATCTGTGGCTGTGGCTTGCCTGCCCGCTGCTGTCAGCCTGCTGTTGCTGGAGGCTTTATTTATGCAGATCTCTGGAGTGAGCTCAACACTCACCTGGCCCCGCAGGCTGTTTACTCAGTGTTCTCCTGTGCGCGAGCCTCTGCTACAAGCTTTCCCCTTTCCAAGCACACTGGGGGAGGTGACACTGCACCTGCTTTCTCTGGCCTGCGTGTTTGTTTACAGCTCAGGTGGGAAGTGGGTCTTCCCCCATCTCCTGTGGCGTTTTCCTCCCACCACTGCTTTTACAAGCTTTCCCACTCCTGATTGCTGGGCGTTGCTACTGTTCCTGCTGACCGGCATGTTTGTTTACAGGTCACGTGGGAGGTGGGTCTTCTTCTCTCTCCTGTGGAGTTTTCCTCCCTCCACCACTTTTACAAGCCTTCCTGCTCCTGGTTGCTGGGCGTGCTCCCCTGCTCCCGCTGGAGCCTGTCCAGCCCGCCTGGCTTGTTTATTTACAGTTCCGGGAAGGATTCCCCTCCCCCATTCTTCAGCGCTCAGTACACCCCACCCTCTTTGCAACATGTCTTTATTGTTCTTATTGCTTATTATTCAGTTTCTGTTTTTTCCCCGGGTTGGGTCAGTCTGTCCAGGGGGCTATGCTGATCTGGCCCAGGGTTGTGTGTGGAAGTACCACATACCGCTTAACTCACCTTGTCCACGTCTTCCCAAGCCATCTGGGTGTGGGCATCTGGTGGCCCAGGGGCCCTCCTGGTTTCTCCATTTAATGTGAAGTGGAGATTCTCTGCACAAGCTGGAGGTATGGAGGGGGTCAAAGTTTTGCCTCTTCTCGTGGTTTTACCTGCAAGGTGTGTCACCAGTGTCTCTCCAAGATTTCACTATAGGAGGCACACTTTCTGCTTCCTCCCTCTAGCCACCATCTTCTGTCACTCCCAATCACTTTTTTTGATTATAGAGGATCACTTAATGAAAACAAATGACTAAAGCTGTCAATGTGTAAAGCATTATCACTTGGAGTCTACCACATGAAAAGCTAAGATAGAAGCTTAATCCTTGACTTTATTTTATCTGTAGTTATATAATATAGTGAAGAATAAATAACAAGGTACCCTTTTGCCTCCAAGTAACTCTGTTTTTTTCTATTTAAAGTCTGAGTGGTAGTCATTTAGGAATGTTTTAAGATTAAGCAACCTCTATAGCCAGGCCCAGATGACCAAAAATCATATGTTCTCCCTCATATGCAGACATTAGATCAAGGGCAAACACAACAAGGGGATTGAACTTCTGATCACATGATAAGGTGAGTGCACACAAGGGAGGTATGAGGATAGGTAGGTAACCCAAAAAAAAAGCTAGCATTTGATGTCTTCAATGCAAAGGAACTAATGCAGAAACTTTAAAGCAACTGAGGCCAATAGGAGAAGGGGACTAGGAACTAGAGAAAAGGGTAGTTCGAGAAGAATTAATTTAGAAAGTAACACATACGTACATGGAAGCAATACTACGAATCTCCCTATATAGCTATCCTTACCTCAACTAGCAAAACCCCCTGGTTCTCCTTATTAATGTTTATACTCTCTCTTCAACAAAGTTAGAGATAAGGGCAAAACAGTTTCTGCCTGGAAGTGAGGGGGTGAGGAGGAGAAGTGGGGGGGAGTAATGACCCAATCATTGTATGCACATATGAATAAAGGAAATATAAATAGATAAAAGATTAAGCAACCTCTAAAGACATGATACAGTGGATCTCAAACTTCCAAACAGGAGAGGTTCTCCACCCCTTCACCTGCTTCAACCTGAGCATCCCCTTTTATCTCATATATACAAGCTATCCTTTGAAAATGAAGGTCTAAATGTAATAAGTTCTCTTTTTCTACAGTGGTGCTCTGTCTTTGTGGAGATTCACTTGGGTTTTCAGTTGCTGTCACCAGAGCCCTAAGCAAAAATGCTAACTTGGGAATTTATGTTTTTACATCCCAAATAGTGCCCTATGCTATCTGCCCTTAGGGCTTCTCTCACACCTACTGCCCACTTTAGAGGCCTGGTTTCTTTACCATCTTTATCAGGATGATGTTCCTGCTAGAGCAGCAGTGTTTTGATGAAGAGGGCCCTTTAAGACACAGACAGAAGGCCTGCCAGCTGGCCAGTGCCTCAAGCCAGTAGGATGGACCTGTCTCCCTAGTGTGCCCTCTAAAGTTCTTCCCTCCCAGCTTTTGAAAAGAAAGCAACTAAATAGAATAAAAGCCTTTAGGTGGGAATGTTTGCAGAGATTTAAAGCTCCCAAGGCTTTTCAAGAGAAATACTCCCAAGGTATTTCAAGAGAAGTGGTTGCTAATCCAAATTAAACTAAAGCCTAGAGTACACAGAGATGGTTTTAAGCCAAGGAGTTTTTCCTAGTGCCTTTTGTCCACTCTGGCTCTCAGCATACCTGTTGCTAGCCATATGTAAGGAGAAACAAGGCTACAGCTGAACCCTCTTCTTTTAAAACATTGCCAAACCCAAACCTTAGTCCAGTTCTAGGCTCCAGTTGGGTTTGTGTCTGTAACAAACTAAAAAGGTGGCCTTCAGTAAAGGGACCAGAGGATGCCAGGATTCCTAGAATCATGCCTCTTATTTCATTATGACACTCATGTAACCCTATTTCATACTCTGGTATGAGTATTATGGACTTTTAAAGCCTTTTGGGAGCAGAGCCTCTGATTACATTCTCCAAAGTACTGAATTTTGGCTAGAAAGGGGAAAAGTTTGCTAAAGGTTAATGGAAGGACCAGGAATAAACTTAGGTCTCCAGGTACCAAATGCCATTTAGTATTCACTCCACTCTGCCACTCTCAGTTATCTACTGCTGCGTAGCAAACCACTCCAAAATGCAGTCCTGCAAAATAACCATACCCTTGTTTCTCATGAGTCTGTAGGTCAGAAATTTGGGCAGGTCTCAGATAGACGGTTTCTCTGTTCCACATGGTTGGTACTAGGTTTCTTGCTTTCGTGGCTGCAGCCAGGTTGGACTAAAAAACCCAGGAAAACCTCCACATGCCTAGAACCTCGGTGCTTCTCCTGTGGCCTTTTTCTCTCCATATGTTCTCTCTTCCTCCTTAGTATTCTAGCCTGAACTTCTTCATGGCACAATAGCTATCTTCCTCTAGGGAAAGCAGGGATTCAAAGACCTCTTAAACTATCCCAAAATTCACATGGTTTGACTTTGCTGCAGTCTTTAGATCAACACATGTAACAAGGCCAGTTCAGATTCAGGGTGGAGTACAGGGGAAGAAGGGGAAAACATGCCATCTCCTAATTAGTGGACCAACATGCACATTCAGAGAGGGAAGAAAATGATGGTGGCCATCTCTGGAAACTAACTGCAGCCATAGTTAGCCAAGAAACCTAGCCTTCTTTCTCTAATTCACATAGTTTCCTATTAGAATAGAGAAATCAAGCCTGTGCAGAAAGAAGAAAGGGAGTAGAAAAATGGCATGAAATAATCTATCCTTTTTGCCCTTAATTCCCAGCTGATGAGTTAGAAAGATGGCACCACCTTCCCAACCACCAGTTTCCCTTTCAACATCCTTTGGCTGAGCTTCTTCTGATGGTATTTGTCCTTCTTTGAGGACAGGAGGAGAGGCTGCTGTACTTTGTAGGGTATATAAGGAAAAAAGAACATTGTTAGTGCTTATACAATACTAAGTGGACATTTTACAATGGTTTGTTTTTACAGCTACTGTCATGTCTGGTTTTTTTGAGTCAAGCCTTTCAATGCTTTACTTAGGGCTGGTTCTCTAGGCAGCAGTTAAAAACAGTACTTTTCAGTACTGTTATGTGTATTGTTAAAATGTATTGCACCAATAGGGAACCTTTTCAATTTTAATTTCCATCTACAAGACAAATTATACTCATTCTCTTTAAAAAAAAAAAGATACCTCAGTAAGGTTTTCTTCCCTTCTTATTAATTACACAGGTTTTTTATATGAAAGGACAAGCATCTAAGACTAGAAGATCAATTTTCTAGCATATGCCAGCCATTGGCAGCATCCTTCTTTTAATTCTATCTGTCTTGTCTTAAAGTATCCCAGGTGATAATACTGATGCTCTTTCTCTGAGGAAAAAATGCCCATAATCTTCGAAATTTCCTTGGGAAATTTTTTTTTCATGTTTTACCTTTTCCTTAAAAATAGAAGACTTTATCATTTTTTTCATAGTTAGGTTGTGTCTTACCACTTAGATAACTGCTTAATCCAGCATACTACTTCCTAGAAACAAAGAGAATTGCTCTAGTGTCATGTCAAGAGGAAAAAAAAAAATAACTAAGAACAGCTCCTGATGGACTTCAGGGCAAAACTTTTCTGAGTGCTTTGGGAAAGCTCACATGTTAAGAGATAATTATTCCCTAGAAAATGATATTTATCTTATACAAATGGAGATTTATTGTTTCCCAAATGTGTGTAAGTTAAAATGGAATGTTTTTGTGTCAGCTACCTGGGAAGAATGGCCCAATGAAATCAGTTTACCTTCTTAATTTGTGTTGTTCAATATTTATTGAAAGTATTTATTTACTTTTGTGTACAGTTATATTATAAACATGTGCATGTGTCACAAAGCTAGAATTAAATTGGAATACTCCAGAATTTCTTAATCTCTGTTTCACCCTTTTCTGTTTGTTATTGATGGCAGTGGTGGGCTTTTTTGTTGTTGTTGTTCCGTTTTTATTTACTGTATTCTTGTTTTCAGTATGTTTGAAAAGACAAACATAATCATGTAGAGAATTTTGGAAAGTGCATTTGAATATTTTTAAAATTTTCATATCTTTATCTCCTTTATCTTAGGAAGAAGAATTAGAAGCCCAGATTTCCTTCCTTCAAGGACAGTTGAATGACCTGGATGCCATGTGCAAATACTGTGCAAAGGTGATGGACACACATCTGGGTGAGTGAACTGTGCTGGCCCTAGGAGTGATAGTGGTCCTCACAGTGACAGCAGTAGCATTAGTGTGTGCTAGGCCCTGCTGTGGGCACTTGACACAAAGTGCCCCATTTTATTCTTGCAGCAGCCCCATAGGAGAAGTACTTTTACTGTCCACATTATACAGATGAGGAAACTCAAGCACAGAGAGTAAGAAAATGTCTCCAGAATTATATCACTAGTAAGTGGAGTAGGAATTCGACATCAAGCATCTAACTTCCAGCTCCTAACTGCTACACCCCTCTTTGTAAATGTTCATCTTTTTTTTTAATTAGACCACTGCATTGCCATGGCAACCTGTCTATCATCACTAGCAGGGTTATTATTTTGATAATGCTTTCTCCGTTTTTGTAATGTAGGTTTTTGAACCACCTGCCATAAGTGCAGGATCCTTTCTTCTGACTGTGATTGTGCTTACACTTCTACATATCCTAGTTAGAAGTTCAGTTTACATGTGAGTCATGTATGTCAGAATGTATCCCACCTCTGCAGAGAAATAAAAGAGAATCCAGCAAGGTCCCTTCCCACTGGCATGGCCTATAGGAGTGGCCTGTCTCTGGGGTCTTCACTGGAGAACTTTTTTAAATTATTGTTGTACTGGTCTGGGTACATTGTGGCATTTACAGAAGTTCTTACAATGCATCAAATATATCATATTTGGACTCACCCCCCTCCCCCACTCTGCCTTATCCCCCCTTCCCCCATTCCTGGAATAGCTTCAGCAGGTATTATTTTTGCATTTATATGTGTAAATACAAAATGTGTTTGCACCATATTCACTCTCCTTCCCCCTTTCCCACCACATTGGTACCAACATTTCCCCATTATCCTCCATCCCCACCCCCAGGGCAGGACCTGTTCCATCCTCCTGTTCTGATTTTTAGAGGAAGAAAGAAAAAAAGACATCTTTGCTTTTTTGAGATAAAGGTAGCGACACAGGGAGTTCCCTTGTGATATTTCCATGTATGTATATATGTTCTATAACCCCAGTTGGTGGAGATGAAATTTTGACCTGCAGACCCTGCTTTTAAAGAAGCTTTACCTAAGCCTCAGAATTGTCAAGCAGCTTTTGCTCTGATTTTGGTCTTTGAATCGGCACAAAAACACATTCTCACTGCATGTGGAGAGGGAAACTAATTACATAGAAAGAAAAGCCCATGCCAGCTTTGAATTTTCAACTAACTGCAAACTAGATTTGTTTTTTGTGCATACATTTCACTTTCAGCCAGAATCCCTTCACACAGCTGTTGACTTCTCTTCCCCATATAGAAGCATAACTGCATTTTGAAGTGGGATGGAGGAATGTTGGAAGAATCCCTGGCCCCCAGGGCCACAAATGTATTTAAGTTCATCTGTATAACAGTGGTTTATTAAAGGATGCTCCTGTACAATTTTAAGTCTAAAGAAGGATTTGCAGAAAACAAAAAATGGTTCAAATGGTGCTCTTAATTTACTTTTTGAATTATTATGCTTCCTCTGAAAAATTTTTTAAACCCTTGTTTTCTGAAATATACATTAGTAAACGATTGACTGTGGTATAGTAATACAGCTTTATAAAAATTTTAAAACTTTTTTATTAAATAAGGAGCTGTTTCTGATAGTTTAAATCATAAAAGCAGGTGGCAAAATAGTATCTATTTGACGAGAAAATAACCACAAACTGCAGTTGCCTAAGTAAAAAGAAGATTGTAAAGGGACTTTCCAAGGAACCTGATCTGCTATGCTCAGAAAATGTAAGACATTTCCAGTGCTAGCTTAAGTGCATGTAACTAGCCACTGGGTGGTCTTATAACAGCAAGAGGCAGTTATAAGAGTGGTGGAGTGGTGTCTGAGGAGGAGAGACAACCTCATATAGGATCAAACAGACATAGGGTTGAATCCAGGTATGTCACTTAGCTGTGCTTATGAGTGTGTCTTTCTATGTGAAATAGAGATAAGAATATCCATGTTGCCAGCTCATTACCAAAATATATTTTTAAACCTTAGCATAGGCCATAGCCCAAAGTGGATATTCAAGAGGAATCATCTCCTCTTTCCCTTAATCCTTCACTGTCTTTTCTCAGGGAAGATCCTGAGAGTCATATGACTCTTGGCAATAGCACTGAGTGATGACTTGTCCAGGACCTCACAGCTTGTTAGTTGAAGAGCTGGGGCTAGTCCTGCATTTCCTAACACCTAGCTGAATTATCCTTATCTGATCATGCAAGAAAGATGGTAGAATTTTCATCTGGGCTCTTTGAGCAAGAGTAACTTCATCACAACTTGATACCTTGTGACCTGAGGACTGCCGAGCCTCTGCACTGGGCTGCAGGCTACCAAGGTGGCTGTGAGAAGTGCCTCGGAACTTTAGGAGAGATTTCTCTGGATCCTTTATTAATGTCAGTCAGTGTCTTCGTTCACCTCTAAAGAATTCTTTTCATCACACATACAATAAGTATCTCAAGTACTATTCAAGACTGTTTTTATAACTGATAGAAGAACAAATAGAGAAGCCTCTCACAGAAAAATTATATGATGGAGTTTGTGCTACTGGCCCTTTAATTATAGGAGTAATAAAAATTGACAATTGAGCAGTATTTCCTCTTAGTTCTGGAACCCAGTATTTTAAAGGGTGTTTGTTAAAACTTTACCAAAATTTTAAATTTTACTACCTCTACATAATTAAACTATTTGAAATGCAAAAAAATAAAGACAAGAATTGAAAATAAGTTGTTTCATTAAATCCAAACTTTTCCTGGCAACTTCAGAAGACTTGTTTTTCAAATATTCAGTTTTCTGTTGCTATAGTTACTCCCCTTGTCATCCTGACAGCTGAGTTGAAAGCTGTTGATGGCATTAACCTCTGTGGCTGAGGTCAGGCTATTTTTAGATATGCCAAACTCACACATAATTGCACGTGGGTGAGGAGCCTATACTTGTCTGAACCCTGTGCAGCTGGGCCACACTGCCAACTGTTTACAGTGAGTACATGAACTGCTCTCCCTGCTGGGCATTAATGCCCGTACCAGCTCAATCTGAATTGAGGTGTTTCCATTCATTTGTTTGGTAGTTAGACTCTTTGGTTTCAAGCAGCTTGCCTTCTCATAGGTGGACCATATATATATATACAATGAGGGGATCAAATGCAGTGAATTAAAAGAAATTAGGTTCCTGTGCTCTTCTGAGAGTACTGTGGCTTATTGGATCTTAGGGTATTAGAGATGTAAACACCCAGAATCTATCTCAGTTGCTCTGTCTTTTATAGATGAGGAAATCAAGGCACAAGAAAGCTGAATGACACAGCTAAACAAGTGGTCAATCTTATCCAGTCCTGGACTTCCTTTTCACTAATGCTCCTGCTGAGGCCACACTTGAATCAGTAGCTGGATTTCAGATCTTCTGCTGTTTGTTGCACACATCACTACTGATTTTGCACATGTCATAATATTTATGAAAGAATTAACTAAAAGAGGAAGCCAGTTTTAAATATCAATCTATTTGCCTCTGTAAGAACTATAAATCTGATTTTCTAATAATTTATAAAAAACAATTTTCAGTGGATATCCTTGAGAATGTTCAATAAGGCAATTAACTAAATGACATTTGATAAAATGAGAAAGCAAATGTGATCACCAGACAGCTTTCTCTTTGTTAACTATGCTGTAATAAAAGCTTTTCATAATTATTTTAAGAATTTTAAACACTACATTTAATTGTGGGTAGCAGAATACTCTGTAGAAGAAACAGATACATCACCCTAGGAGCTCATTAAAAATGAGACTCCTGATTCATCAGGTCTGCTGCAGGGCCTGAAGTTCCACGTTTCTAAAAGGCTCCCAGTTGACCTGGTGTTACTGTCCTGTGGCATGCCTTGACCAGTGAGAAGCCAAAGAGCTTAAAATTATTTAGCACAATTCAATTAATATATTCATAACCCTGTTAATATGTTCATTAACCTATGTCTGAGACACCTGTACACCTAAACCCTGTGGGCAGAGAGCTCCCCGCCTCGCGTCACATTCTGGTGAAACGTAACCTACAGCCTCTGCAATTCAGAAGTTATTTTTCAGCCTCTCTAAATTTTCTCTGTTCTAGCTGAAATGTTTTTCCCCAAGTTTTATTATCAGAAGACTTGGAAACAATTGATCAGCATCTTCCTTGTACCACCCCTGTACCTATTCAGAAAAGCTCAACAACTACCTCCTAGAGAATGTCTCCCTAGGCCAGGATGTCACCACTCCAATAACAGGGCCTCATACAGATCATCCATCTTTCATCATTTTCTTTTCCATTTTCTGCTTCTCTCCCATTTTCCTACATGCTTTTCCATAGGAAGGATCCAGATTGACTATCATTCCCTGTCTCTATCTTTTTTTTTTAAATTATAATATCTGAATTCTTCATTAAGCTTACTCTGAGCTCAGAATATGTCAGCATTTTAGTGCCCTCCCCTCTTCTTTCTCTTTCATCTTCTGGAAGTGGCTATTATAAGCTGTCTTGAGTAGTGGCCATAGAGACTCACAGTGTCTCCTTGACTTTGTGGTGCTCCCCCAGTGGATATCATCTCTACAAGGGGCAGTCCCCACTGAGGCTTCAGCCTCATTGAAAAGGCATAGAAGATATCTGTATTCTTCAAATTCAGTAAGAAAGAGACTTTTCTCTGGTGGGTGGTAATCTTGTTGAATCTAGAGTCAAAATAAAATGTTAAATGGATATATAAAGTCTGTCTTTCCGGTTGAACTTAATGTGGCAGCCATATCACAACTATGATAGATTTTTCTGTGAAGATCCATGTTTCCATGACACTCTGCTGACAGGATGAAAAATCCTAGCAGAGGAACCAGAGAAGATTCAGAACTCTGTACCAAGCACTGTCAGTTTACTCGGGAGAACTATTTCTTGGCCTGAAGACTTGTCTGTAGTATCAGACACATATTGCCCTAGTCTTACCCCAGGATTTTCTTATGTAATGTTCCTCTCCCACT